TACCTATTCCGGTCGCTGCAGCATCATTTGACTGATACACATTTCGTGAGATTTGAAGAGATATGAAAATGCATTGATGATTCCTTATCGCTTCGAAGTCGGTGAGCTTCTATCGTCAAAGAATTCGCAAGCTATCCGAAAGATGGCAAAAGGTCGTTGATGCAAACGGGGAATATTTCGCTGATTAATATCTTTTTGTTTGTTTTTGAATAAAGATTGAATTTTACAAAAAAAGCTCAGAACTTTTTTGTACACCTAATAATACTGTATCAATAAAATAATTTTCATTAGCTAAACCTATGAAACTATGTTTCATGATTTCACTTTCTACGCATCCAAGCTACATACATAATTGCTGTACGTGAAAAGTTTCATGTGAAATGTCAAGGTGTGAAAAATGCAAAGTAAAAAATGAAAAATGAAAAATTTCACGTAAAGTTATGTGATTGACTCCAAGACTTCAGCAGCTCGGTAAAAACCAAATTACCAAAAGATCTAATCCGTATGACAATGATAGATAAATATCATTGTATAATATATCACATCATCATTGTAATATTGAACTATTATTGTGATACGGATTGGGTTAGGTTAAATCTTTCAGAAATAAAGCCCCCTCCGTAGGGGGGGGAGGCGGAACAGACTGTCTCCGCACATACATTTTCCAACGCGAAGCAAGGTTCCACATAGGTTTACAATTTTCAATCGCGATGATATTTAACTATTATGTGATACGGGTTGGGTTAGGACAGGTTATTTATTGGTGCTTGGGCCGCTTCATCGGTGCTTGGGCCGATTTCTTGGGAATCTCGCATATGATCGGGTGCTACGCACGCCACTCCCCCCTGGCTGCCACGTTGTCTGCTATGCGGACAACATGTTGATGGCCGGGAGGAAAACTGGGAGGACGCACTGATCATGGCCAACATGGCCATGGCCCTTCTAGCCCTGAGGGGGGGGGAATGAAAGGGATAGGCCGATAACCTGCTCTGAGGTCCCCTCCTGGCCTCAATCGTGAGGCATTGCCCTCACCACAAGTGGAACGGGAGAGCTAAACCCTCGCTCCTCCCGGTGAAGGCGGCAGTGGGGCTGGCTTCTCGCCCCACCGCTCAATTGGCAGTGTAGTAGGACCGAAAGCCAGACGGGCCAGTGGGGCGCCCGGAAGAATACTTAAGTCCCACACTCCCCCGGGCAGTTTTAAATCCGGGGGTTCGTGCGTAAATGCATTTCCACACGTATAAAAAAAAAGGACAGGTTATTTTGAAATGAGGGTGCAGGGGTTCCGCCTGTCCTCCATCCATGCATGTTCTATACTATATCTATACGAAAAATTTTGTTAATGCTATAACTAACCCAAACTGGTACATTTTACAAACTTTTTTTGTTAATAACTTTTTAATCGATAACGAGCGACGGCTAAAATCTTTCGATTGTTACTCAGAGTGGTGACCTTGATAATATATATCAAGATCAAAGTCATCGGGACAAACGCCTCTCATCGATATATTTATCCTTTTTTCTCTCTAATTCTTCAAATATTTACTATTATATTAATGTCATTATTACAAGTTATTAGTAATATTTTTTATTTAATTATCTTAAATAGATAATACATTTGGATGGTATACAAGCACGTAGATTAAAAATAACAAATTAACAACAATGGAAGCGTAATTAACAATAAAAACATTTTTTACGAATTGTTAATTCGTTATAACACTCGTCTTGTTGAATTTATAATAAGTAAATATGAACCAATTAATATATTTAACAAATCAGTTCCAATCGAGTTAAATAAAATATGAATATATCTGGACACATTAGTAAATTTCTTTATATTACGTCTCTATGTATTTCTATTTTTCAACTTGTGATTTTTAAAAGTTAATAACTCGATAATTATCACAGAAATTGCAAATGATAGGGGACTTTTCTACTTAATTTTACCAGCTCTGCCTGCTCACGAAAGGTGATACGACCAATACCGGACACCCTGTATATCTTTAAATTAATTTTGATATTTAATTATAAATATTTATTTATTCATAAAAATTAATTTTATTAATTTATATATTCATTTAGCTAAATAATCCTCTTTTTTCAATATTTCATATAAAATAATATCCAATATGTTTAACTTTATTTAGTTTAAAAATAGTATTTATTTTAATTTTTATAATACTAATACCATTTATACTATAATTATATTTAAATAGATTTGTAATTCAACATAAATTATATAAACTAAAAAATATTTATTTTTATAAATCTTATTAACTTTATTAAATTATCAGCAATAATATTAATATTATTAATATCAATTTTAATTATTTTGAGATTTTAAGTTATATAAATTTTAAACTTTCAAAGTTTAATAAATTTTATAAAAAATGTCTTGAATTTTATTATTTATACTTATTTATCGTCATATATTTAAGTTTTTTATTCTAAGTTTTATATTCTAAGTTTTTTAAACATGCAATTTAATATTTCAATTTAAAACTTTAAATAATAACTGATATATATTTCAAACAATGAATGGCATTAATCGACGGACAGGGTTTTTGTGTCTAATAATTTTTTTTTTCTTAATATTTGAATTTGTATCTATAAATTTATAGCGACCGGGCGGGTCTGCTTAGGCAATATAGGGCCACTGATATGAGGACACAGTCCCCCTCCAAGAATGGTAGCAGTGAGTTCCGCCGAAGTTAGAGATAAATATTAAGGCGGTGGGAAATATAACTCCCATCGCCCTGAAGACAAGTAGAGGCGCGGAGAATACTGATTGTGTTCGAAAGAATTGTTATGCCGCTCTGAGCGCAACTGAGGGGAGAGTGGTGGAAGGGGGGAGAAGGAATCACACGATTTTTTAATAAACAGTCTTTATTTTAACACTCGATGTTCGTTATTACCGAATCATCCGCGAACTGTCTCACTTCCTTAATAATCCTTCGCGTCGGTACTCGTACGTCCGTGCCTCTGATTCTGAGCCGTGCCTGATTACTTCTCGTCGTTCTTTTATCAGTTCGCTGTTACGCGGCGTCGGCGTGCTATCCTCGTGTCGAAACATTGTTTGGTGCGTCAGTGTTTCGACACGTGTTGTCAGAGTTAGCGTCCTTGCCGAATTGCACATCGGTTGCAATCGGCGCGGGCGCGCATTACTTCTTATTATTTTAGTTTCATACTTTAATTACTTAATTCATAATTCGGGGGACTTCCAGCGGATTAGGCGAAGTGTGAAGACGTGAAGCCTTGCCCGTGGAAGAATATAATTAAGGACATAGAGAGCAGAGAGCAAACAGAGGGGAGGAGGTGATCAGTGAGTGAGGAGAGACGAGAGGAAAAACGGAGAGAATAAGGGAGAAGTAAAAAGACAAGAGCAAAGGAAAAGGAGAAACAGAAAGTGGACAAAGGAGGTTAGAGTTGCTCAACGCTGAATAAACAAGCCTCGTGCGGCGAGCGCTGGACTGGAGCGCGCAAGCGCGAAAGCAGCCAACTCAGCAGCGCGAACGAGAAAGACTTCAACACTAGGGAATTCCAATAAGAAACGAAAGCGGTGAGAGAAGAGGCGGCAGATGGCACCGGTAGCAGGAACCAGGAGTAAGAATAAGGAAGAAGGGACAATTGACAAGTTTACTATGCCTACGGGAAATGAAGAGGCGCGAAGAAAAGGTTTCGAAGAGAGAATGATCGCAATGATGGAGGAGGTAAAGATGGAGATGAAGGAGATCAGAGAAGGAATGGAAAGATTTAAAAAGCAGATAAGAGAACAAATTATAGAAGAAAGAAAAATAAGAGAAGAGAAAAGAAGAAAAGAAAAAGAAGAATGGACACAGGAAAGAGAGCTGCTAGAGAAGAGAATAGCAGAGTTAGAGGCGAACAACGAGATAAGAGAGAGACAGGACAGAAAGAACAATATCGTGATCAAGGGAGTCTGGAAAAAGGAGAAGTTGGAGAAGGAGATAGAGAATTTCCTAAAAGATAGCATAAAGGCAGAGATAAAAATAAGGAAGGCGTACAAGATAAAAGGGAGCGAAAATAGAACATGGTGATAGCGGAGATAGACAGCTGGGAACAGAAGAAAGAGGTCATGAGGAAAAAGAAAGAACTGGAGAAAGGTGTAATCATAGAGAACGATTTAACAAAGGAAGAAAGAAAGATGCAATGGAAACTCAGGGAGATAGCGAGAGAGGAAAGAGAAAAAGGCGAAAGAGCAAGAGTAGGATACAAGAAAATAACAATGAGAGGTAAGGAATATAGATGGAATGAGAGGGAAGAAAAATTAGAAGAAGAAAGAGGAGGAAGAAGAGATTGAGGACAGAAGAAATAGGAAGGAGAAGAAGAGGAAAACAGGGCTCGGAGACTAAAAATTTGTTTCTGGAACATAGCTGGAATAATGAACAAAGGAGAGGACACGAGAGTATCTCGAAAAATTCGACGTGAAGGACTAACAGAGACATAGGTAGAAGAACAAGCATGGAAAAAAATCACAAAGAAATTACCTAATGAATTCCAGTAGTATAGCGTTCCAGCAACAAGGAAAAATAAAAAAGGAAGAGCTAAGGGGGGGAAGGAATCATGATGGCAACAAGAAAAGATATAAAATTAATCAACACGAGGAAAATAAGCAAAGGAATGGCGGAAATAGAAGTCGTGCATGGCGGCAGCAGATGGAGGATAGTCACAGTATACAGTCATTGCATCGAGGAAACCATGAAAGTCCTACTGGAAGAAATCCAAGAGGAAAAGGAAAGCCACTTAATAATAGGAGGTGATTTCAACGCAAGGACAGGAAACAGGGGAGGACCGATAGAAACGGGAGAAAGGAAGAGGGAAGAGATAAGAAAATCAAAGGATAAGGTGATAAACAGAGAGGGAATTATAATGTTAAACGGACTGAGAGAGAAAGGATGGACGATATTAAATGGAAGCAGCAGGAGGTAGGAGATTGGACCTACATAGGAGAAAGCGGAGCGTCAATAATAAATTACGTCATAATGAACGTAAAAGCATTGGAGGAGATAAAGAACATGAAAGAAGGTGTCAGAATAGAATCAGACCATGTTCTGCTGAAGGTAGAGCTGAAAGGCGCCGACAGAAAGAAGGAGAGAAGAAGCAACACTATTGAAAAGGTAACAAGTGTATGGACAGAAGAAGCGATACAGCAATACCATGAGAAGTGTGTAGGATGGAAATGTGAGCAGACGAAAAGTGGGATAATCTAGAAGGAACTAGAAGAAAAAGTAAAGAAATCAATCACAAAAGTCAAGAAGAAGATCGCACTATGGAAGATAGAAAGGAGGACGTGGCATAGCAAAGAATGGAATAAGAAAAAAAGGGAACTGAGGAAAGAACTTGGAAGGCTAAAAAGAGGGAAAATAAGCAGAGAAGAATTCGTACAAAAGAGGAAAGAATACAGAGAATGGTACAAGAAAGAAAAGCGCAAACATGAAAGAGAAAAAGAGGAAAGGATAGCAATAAGCAATAAGGACAGAAGAAGAGGCATGGAGATACATAAACAAATACAGAAAGAAGAAAGAAGGGATAAGCGAAAGTATAGAGATAGAAAGGTGGATCATGCACTTCATGGAACTATTGGATCAAAAGATAAAATAATAATGAAAGAAGAAGAGGAAGAGAAGGAGACGGAAAAGGAGGAACAAGAGAGAGAGGAGGAAAAGAACGAATTAACAAGGGAAGAAATAATAAAACAACTAATAGAACTGAAGAAGGGAAAAGCCCCGGGAGAAAATGAAATTGAAAACGAAGCATGGAGGCTGATGCCAAAAGAAATAAGAGAAACCTTTGCTGCTAAACAAGATATGGAAAGGAGGAGGCATACCGCAAGAATGGAACAACGGCCTAATAAGCCCAATATATAAGAGAGGAGAGAAGAATGAGGTAACTAATTATAGAGGAGTGACGCTGATGGACACGGCATACAAAATATATGCAAAGGTGCTAAATGAAAGATTAAAAAAAGAAGTAGAGAAAAATCTTGAAGAAGGACAATTTGGGTTCAGAGAAGAAAGAGAAACCATTGATGCAGTGTATACACTAAACTATGTGGCGAATAGGGAGTTAGCGAGGAAGAAAGGAAAGCTGTATGCATTCTTTGCGGATCTAAAGGCGGCTTTTGATAAGGTGGATAGAAAGAAGCTAGGAGAAATGATGGAAAAACAAGATGATGGAGAGAGATTAAGAAAAAGAATAATGGAAACGTACAGAGAGACGAAGAATATAGTGAGGGTACAAAAAAGTAGTTATATAGTAAGGAAACAAAAAATCAAAGATATTCTGGACAAAGAGAGGATTAAGACAGGGATGTCCATTGAGCTCTATGCTGTTTAATATATACTTGGCGGACCTGGAGGCGGAATTGAAAAAGAAACAAACAGGAGGAACAGTAATGGGAAAGGAAAAATTCTGATTAACTTATGCAGATGACATCGTGCTACTGGCAACAAGCGAATAGGAATTAAAAGACATGATGAAGAGACTTAGAAAATACATCCAAAAGAAAGATTTACTATTAAGTCCAGGAAAATTTAAAGTACTAGTTTTCGAAAGAGGAAGAAGACGAAGAGGAAAGAGAGAGTGGAGATGGGGAGAGGAGGACATCGAGGAGGTGAAAGAGATGAAATACCTGGGATACATCATACAAAAAAACGGTGGAGCAGAAAGGCACCTAGAGGAAAGAATGAGAAGAGCGATGATTGCGATGAAGCAAACATGGAGCATTGGAGAGAAACTGTTTAAGGACGACTTCGAGAAAAGAATGAAGATGTTCAATGCGCTAGTGGAAAGTATTGCGTTATACGGAGCAGAAGTATAGGGATGGAAAAATGAGGAAAGGCTAGACAGGATCAAAAGGAAATATACAAAATGGATCTTGGGACTAGATAGAAGGACACCGAACCACATATTGCTGGAGGAGACGAAGATGAGGGAAATAAGGATAGAGGCTATAAGAAGAGCAAGCAAGTATGAAGAGACTAACAGGAAAACGAACAAGAAGTTAGTAACAGAATGCATAAGGGAGATAGAAAAAGGAAAAAGAGAAAGCGAAGAAAGCAAGTGGGAAAAGAAGAGAAGGATAATGATGGAGAAGTCGGAAATAAGCAGAGAGGAACTGAGGCAGAGAAGAGAGAGCGGAGAGCCTAAAAGGATAACGCAACTAATAATGGAGCGAATAGAAAGAAGAGAGAGAGAGAGGAAAGAAGGAGAAAAATCGAAGAGTCAAAATTTAACGAGTACTACAGGCACATAGTGACAGAAGACATGCCAGTGTATCTGCGAGGAAAAATGAAGAAGGACAGGAACTTAATAGCTGGATACAGATGCGGAAACACAACGAGAGGAAGCCAATACTGGAGAGCAGAAAAAGAAAGGAAATGCAGAGTATGCGAAAAAGAAACGGAGAGTATATGGCACGTCTTGAAAGAATGTGAAGATACCAAGATGGAAACGCCAATAGAAGAAATATTGGAACAAGATGGAAAAGGAAAAGATATATTAAAAAGAATAGACAGAATAAGAAGCAGAGAGGGAGGAGAAAGAAAAGATGAAGGAAGGGAGACAGAGCATAGTAACAGAGAAGGGAGCAGTGAAGAGAGAGAAGGAGACAGGAAGGATGGAGAGGGGGACGCAGGAAGGAGAGAGAAGAGGAACGGGAAACGGGGAGAGAGAGAGATAGGGAGAGAGATGAACAATGAGGATAAACAGTGCAATAGATAAGTAATAAGAAAGGGAGTGGAGATTGTATTAGATTAGGATATTAAACATATGTATAGTAAAATGTAGTTGTAAAGCTGGAAGTCATCCAAAGTCGAAAGGCACGGATTATAAATAAATAATAACTTAATTCATAATTCTCGGGTTAGTCAGAATCCTTGGGATTCTGACTAATTAGCTGTGTTACGAGATCGGGTTGTTTTATTTAGATTACCTCGCAATAGAATTTACAGTGTGCCTCCCACTGAGCACCAGAGATAGACCACTATGGGATTTTAATGGGTAATAAGGGTAGCTTTAGACCCTTGAATTCCATACTCTCCCTGGAAAGTTAATAGCCAGGAAGTTAGTGCGTAAAGGCATTTTCCTACGTAAAAAATGGTTATGCAGTTATGTGGAAAGGTTGCTAGAGAGTGGCGCAATGCTTTCAGGGATATGCGGAAATATTACGGAAGAATTACGGAATGATTGGGGAGATATGCGGGGGAGATTGCGGGAATGTTGCTGAATGGCTTTGAAGATACGCGAAAAAAGGAGACTTGCGGAATGTGGAGATATGCAGAGAAGTTGCGGGAAAAGAGAAAATACGCAGATAAGCTGTGAAAGGTTTGCGGAATGATTCTGAAATATGATATGCGTACGTCACTCCGAAGATTTGAGCGCTAGCGCCTCGCAACGGCGAAAATTATATATGAATAGTGATAATAACGATAATAATAAGACAGTCGCGCTCGTAAAGCGCTAGTGCATATACTTGGCGATGAGCCACGACCATGTTTTTTGATAATGATGACTTCTCTTAGAAGTAAATTTTCAAATCGAATTTTGCATCGCAATATCTCTGATCATAGGGCACATAGACGAAAAATGAAAGCACTTTTATTATACACTCTCTGTCCAAAAATAAATCGAATTTTTAATAGAAAATAAAACAGGCCAATTATAGTGTTACGTCCGGGGGACTTCACAAATTCTTCTCTTTCGGGAAGGAAAATTTTAACGGCTGCTAATCCATAAACAGGCACTTCGAACGATCAAACAAAAATAACCCGATCAAACAAAAAGGAAACTCTAAATAAACAATCGTTCTCCCGAGATATGTCTCATTATCAAAAAAATCCTTGGTAAACAGCCTTGTCGGCGCCGACAAGTTTACGACTTACCAATAAAAAAATTTTATATTAACAAAAGCAAATTCCTAACGGATAAAAAACGCGTTGGATCGTTCGGGGATGACACTCCCCACATTGGTGGGGAAACACAAAAAAGCACCAATCAAGAAGAACTGATTAGTGGCCGTTGGCTGGCACACCAATGAGCGATTAAGAGTGTGAACTAGCGGGAGAATTTTTATTAATAAATTCTATCTATCTAAAAACTAATTCTATCATTCGCTGGGAAATCTGGAAATGGAAAAACGACCACAAATCATAGGACACCGCTTCCCTCCTTCCTCTATAATCATAATTTTCCTAAACTATCATTTGACAAGCCAACACGGAAATCCATCACGCCCTCAGATATTCCCACCCCTCCGGAACCCTTCAAAAACCGCGACTCGGAGCGGATCGCTCTCTTCTTCCTGATACACTCGAGGTCGACACCTTCCGTAACAGTTAGAATCTGTGCGCGACTTTATTCTCGAACAATTCAGTGATCCAGCCTGGGCAATTGTATTCCTCGACCATCGCTACCGGCCGCTACAACAAAAGTAAGTCCAAGCTTATCATTTTTTTTTCGCGGTAACTGGCCGTTTGGTTCGCGACCTCTTATTTACTTATTTCTCTCAATTTATTTACCTTCAAACCACCCCAACATTCCAAATTGGCAAGCCGCCGATTAACTCGGTGAAGCTGCCTTCCCTGACTTCACATTATTCATTTCCACAACCTTCTAACCGGGCAAGCCGCCGATTAACTCGGTGAAGCTGCCTCCTCCGCCTCCACAACATTCCAACCGGGCAAGCCGCCGATTGATTCGGTGAAGCTGCCTTATTTCTACTCGTCAACTTCTCTCTTATCTGACTCCCATTTATATAGTGAATCAAACAAATGCCAGTCGAAGCGGACGAACGAAACGGGCATTGCGACACCGTCGCGAGAAGGCAAACAAGCGGATTCGTCGCGAAACCTCCCACGCCGAACAACTCGCGGAACGCTTAGTAGAAGTAGAGCCGGAACTAGCCAACATATCGCTCCACCAATACGCCTCGGCCCTCCGTTCCGCAGCCGAATTCGAGAGCAGGTGTACTCCGGAAAATTTCGACGTGGAGAAATTTTTTCACCTCGTCCGCCAATTCCCTCGCTCTCCCGCCCATCCACCTCCCGGCATCTTCTTCATCCCAAGAAAATTCAAACCTGACAAACAATTCTGGGACCAAATCTCCAAGCATGCAATAACCGATACTGTCCCTATGTACATTTCCCGTGATCCTCTTCCTTACCTCGTCCCGATTAAGGCATTCCGTACCGCCGCACCCCAATCCTCCTCCACACCTGCAACCTGATCCTATAGACATGTTCGCTGTCACCAATTTTTTACCCCAACTTGAGCAACTGGGATTATAAGAAATTTTCCTGGTCCCGTCGGTCGTTTTTTTTTATATTTATTATGTATAAGATTTCTCTTTGTTACCAATACTTCAACCTTTTTATGTACACGAACAGAAAATTGTAGCTCTCTTTTATTATTTCTTATTAAATTAATTGATCAAAATTCGGTAGTAAACATTTTTTTTCTCTCCTAAACTTGACCCCGCGCCGTTCCCGGCTCCCTGAGGATCGCACTAGGTCCATTCCTGGTCAAAGAGATTCGGTTCTCTGACCTAAAACGGACCGCCGAATAGCGCGGGCGCAGGTAAGGGTAACAACGTCGCTGACGCTGACCCGATCCCTGCCCCCCTTAACGCGCGTTCGACTCGCGGATCGGCATCACGACGTCGCTCCGCGAGAAAAGGAGAGGTTCCGTGCGTCCACCCGAGTTCTCCTCCTCCTGACGAGAGATATTATCTTTCGTTCAGAACACGGACGTAACAATAGTTGTTCAAATCATTTATTTATTATTTCAAACAATATACTTTCCCTCAGCCCCCCTTTTAATACAGCGTTTAGTACGGTCAATTAATGCATTAAATAAGTTTTCTATATCGGTTTTTTGAGATACTATTGAAGGTCGTGGTCATTATCACTTGATTATTTTCAATAGTGTCGCTTTCCTTTTATCGGTAAATGAAGTCGGGGGAAAAGAAAAGAGTCACAGGGTGCTAAATCAGGTGAATACAGCGAGTGATCCAAACATACAAACTTGATTTTTGCTCAAAAACTGTCTCACAATGGCCGAATGATAAGATGATGTATTATCGTACAAAAGTGACCAGCTGTCCGCATTACGATATTCATGCCATACGCAACGAATTCTCACTATCAATCGCTTCGAAACTTCAAAATAAAATTCACTATTGACCGTTTGGCCAAGCGGAATCTTTTGTGGATAATGCCCTTAGAATCGTAGAAACAAATCAACATTGTTACACAACACCTTTACTTTTGATTTTTTGAAGAGATTTTTCTTTCAGATGCCTCTTTTTTGGTGATCTCTATTCAGCACTCTGGCGCTTTGTTTTGAGCTCAAAATACTTAAAATATCATGTTTTGTCAGTAATGATTGTCTCAAAGAAGTTGAGTCCTTACAAACGGTTTTAATGAAATCCTTGCAGTGCTGAATTCGATACATTTTTGATTGTCGGTCAACCTGTAGGAAGCAAATCGCGAATTCAATTATGAAGGCCCAAATTCTGGGTCAAAATTGTGCACAATTGATTTTGGAATCCTCAGTTCATCTTTCATCTTTCAATGTGATGATTTCGGATATTCTTTAATGAAATCATGTACTTTTCGGATATTCTTTAATGAAATCATGCACTTTTTGGATGTTAATTTTGTTCAATCCAATGTCTTGGACAATCCGACTTTTCGTCGTCCTCAAACGTCACACGACTTTGGAATTGCTTAAATCACTCGTAAACTTAGGGAGTACGGGACGGGAGTATGGAAGCATTCATCACTGTATGCTTTTTGAAACATTTGATGCGTTTTAGTAAAACTTTTACCAAGTTTAAAACAAAAATCAATCACAAATCATTCTTTGTTTAAAACTTATTTTTTGACCGTCCGTCAAAACATACTGTCACTCTTGACATTATAACTCAACTTCTAATAAAACAAATGTCATGAATAGTTGAAACAACACTGAAAGTTGTCGCTTTTATCAACAAAAAGATATAACAGTGTTTTTTCTATTTTCGAAAAGTTTGGTTTCTTTTTGAACAGAAGATATATAATTTAAACACAAGCTAACGATTATGCTGCGCTTATCCAGAACTTAATTGGTTCAGCTTTTATTGAAATTCGATAATTATGAGTGCTTGCAACTCATTGATTTGCGTAAAGAGGTCGGTCTCGCGTTCCTATATCGCTAGCGCGTCTTATCTCCAATTATTCTTGTTCAATGTTGACATTCAGAATATTGAGATTGGTTATCTCTTATCCAATTGTGGATTTTCGGTGCTCCAATATCAGAAATTCTGACGATTAACATTTCCATGAAGTTCGAAACTAACTTCATCAGAAAAGACAACGTTATTTACAACATCATTTTCGCATGCCTCAATAAGTTCACAAAATTCTATTCTCTGGTCAAAATCTTCACGAACTAACTCTTGTACATAAAATATTTTATAGGGATGAAATCTGTGCTTTTTTTAAAATATGACATATCGATAATTGATTGACTTCGTTTTCTGTAGCAATTTTTCTAATAGACGTATTAGGCGTTTCGATAAAGTTTTGCAAAATATTAGCACTCTTTTCATTATTGGAGGCAGATGTAGATCGTCCACAACGCGAGCGATTTCACGCTATCTATTTCAATGAAATGCTGAACTGTTCTTACAATTGTCAATTTTAAAATTAGATTTCGCGCATTAAAAGTTATATAGTTGAAAAGATCACATGTCTCTTGATATAATCTTTCTTTATCTCCATACTTTTTTCACACATTATTAAAAGATAAATAGTCAGAAAAAGTTCTTTTTCCGACAACCATCGTAAGAAAATTTTTTTTAAATTTTAAAGCTTGAAAGAGAAAGAGTCCGAGCGTGGAACTTAGGTACACCGCTAGAGATATCAGATTGCAAACGGAACAGTACAACGGAACAATGTGTTGCCGATGCTTGATATCATGCTAACAGCGTAAGGATTGGTGGGGATACGCAAGTGACAGCTGTTGTGGGGAATATGCTAGCAGGTATCGGTTTCAGTGAAATGTTGAGTCGTTCCTATAATTGTTAATTTTGAAATTAGATCTCACGCGCGCACACACACGTGAGAGATAAGGAAACTCACGTAAATCAAGCACTCCAAAGAAATGAGAGCTCTGCCATGTCCATGTCATCCTAAGCATGAATAATCTTAAGCATAGAGAAATGCCAGTGGTGCTGTAACTTTCAAGTCTCATAACTTAAAAAATATTTTATGAAAAATAACTTTATTATAATGTTTTGAAAAGCTCTTGATACCAGTTATTAGATTCTGGAATCAAAAATAGGATGTGCCATTTAAAAAAATCAATCTGATCTTGTCTTTAGCGACGCCAACCAAAGTCAGACTGATCAGATTAGTGAATACATCGTTTAAAACTCTACAACTTTTGTAGGAAACATTTCTTTCGGAAATGCTTAGTTTTCGAGATATTTCTCCGATCCGAGACTTTTTACTCATCCTATATAGTGCCCAGTTGTCATCTATTGTAAAAATCGAATATCAAATAATGTAAGATTTTTCTATTTAATATAATCTGTCCTATTTGTCTAGAGATATAGTTGAGGTATAGTTGTTATCGGATATTTGATATAATTGTTTTATTGGGATAATAACATAACAATAGCTGTGTTGGGTCACTCTGCATAATAACATAACTATAGCTTTTATTATTTTAGAATATGCCAAACGGTTACAAGTTTTCTTGGATTTTGAAGCACTGAAAACCAATGCAGTCTTTCCGTAGAACCTCTCACACCTTTCCCAAGAGCCACTTTACCGATGAAAATATCAGTAGATTTTCTAATGGAACTGATAGAATCTTCGCTGTCACTCGCTTCGGTATTGTTGGCAGATAATCCTTCCGGTAAAACCTAAAAATTATTTAATACATGTAAGATAAATATCAAATAAGAATTATGTATGCAACATGTACTATTAATCATGTATGCAATTTTCAATGACATATCTTTCTCAGCCTAGAAAAATATTATCTTGGCTACAAATTATTTATAGGTGTATGCTTAGATAATGATAGTAATGAAAAGCTTAGATAACATTAGTAATATTAGTAATATTAATTATACATCGGTAATATTAATTGAGATTGATTATCAGTAATTATAATACGATTCCAGTTATAGTCTATTGCTACATTTCAAAATCGACAAATAATCGACATGTAGTTTGATAGGGTGAAAAGAACGTATCACAAAAAAATATTACAAGATGATTATTAATAATGCTGGCTCCTTTTTAGCCTTCTCTCAATTATCTTTTTAATTTCTATTTATACAAGATTTGTTACAAGAAGTCAATCAATCTCCGACATCACAGATTTTGCCAAATTTTAAATATGTTATATAGTATAGTATAGCCCTCTCAATAATTCACGGCAACAGAAATCCATCTAATGCGCAATAGTTTACGAGATATTAATGTTTAAAGTTTTATACATCACAAGTTTTTTATACATCATGTTCATTGGTCTAAGATTTAAGGGGTTGTCAAAGGATGAAAACAATACTTATTTTGTGTTATATTTTAAACAATACAATACATGAAGTCGTCAAAGATTAAATCTCAGGCCGCGCCGGCCTGAGGAACGCGCGCCGGCCCTGATTGCTACGCATATACGCGCGCTCATTCGTCACTTTTAATTTGGTTCACTGTAAAAACTACTCGTCGCATGCAATTTTGCTAAAGGAAAAAGTTGTTTCTTTTAGCATAAAAAATCACGTGGTGTACTCCAAGTGCGGGAGTTTTTGTTGGGACATCCTGTATATACATTGTAACACGTGGTGCTTTGTACCTGCCAATCACAAGAGGTGTAAGCCCCCGCGGGGGAATTTATTTCGGATCTGCGTCCTCCAGTAGACGGGAAAGACAATTGTTATTCGGCCAGTGGGTCCGTTGCTGCGATCGCGTGCGACGATTTTAGTTATTTTCAGGCGAGTGGAGTTGACGGCTATTCCTTCTTTGAACGCTTGAAACGCGTTTTCCAGCGGACAGGGATCTGCGAGGCGAAGACGAAGGAGAGGAACGATTAGGAAAGGAGCGACGCAGATTCAACGGGATGCAGGTAATATTATCCCTCTCGCACCCGCATTAGCGGGAATGGAAATGTGTGTATGTGTGTGTGTGTGTGTGTGTGCGCGCGCGCGCGCGCGCGCGCGCACAGAGGTTTTTCATTTTAAGTGATATGTCGATTATCTCGCAAATCGATAATTTTATTGAACAATTTTTCGAACGAAAGTTACATGACTTGAAGGGGACACATGATGGAAATGGGGATTGGCCAAATGCAATCTCTCCTGTCGTGCTCCAGGAGGATTATTTGTATATTTGCCAATGGCGTTGGAGGGTGTCGCCGCTGCAGTCCGACCTGCATCCATCGAGAGAGTAGGACCATCATTTCTCTAGAGTACCAAGTAGCTCTTAGTGGAGTAGTGAAGTAGATTCTACCGCTCCTACTTGCGAGATGGTGCACATAAGAAACGTCAGTCTCGACACGAAGGGGTGAAGTGCATTCGAGGGGGTGGGACCATCATCTCTCTGGAGTACCGGTCGTGGGGATTCGAAAAAGAATACATGTATATATGTATATTGTAATATATATATATATGTGTCATTGTATTGTTGACGTGTTATTCTAAACACGTTATTTGCGATAAATATCATCACATGCCTCGGTAGTCGAAAGGATAAGATGCCTGCCCGGTAAGCAGGAGATCCAGGTTCGATTCCTGGCTGAGGTGGTATTTTTTCGCAAAATAATTGCGAGTTTTCACGACTGGTTCGTGGTCGGGCTCCGCCGTGACGCACACCCTCCCTTCTTATTTGGGTGAAATTTTTCATTTTTCATTTTTTACTTTTCATTTTTCACATCTTGATATTTCACGTGAAACTTTTCACGTACAGCAATTATGTGTGTAGCTTGAATGCGTGGAAAATGAAATCATAAAACATAGTTTCATAGGTTTTATAGCTAATGAAAATTATTTTATTAGTACAGTATTATATACATCTTTTAATAACCAATTGTATGTATTACACTTAATCCTAACACAGCCCTAATCTTCTTTAATTCCAAAGCTAATTCCATATTTATTAATTTCCTAGATTTCCGCCTTTCCGCCATCAAGGTACATGGCGAAAAAGTTCACGTAAAAAATTTCACATTTTCATGTTTGAGAGAGTTACATGATCGTAAGTTCACGTGAAACTTTTCACTTTTCACGTTTCCGCCTTAAGGGAAAAGTTATATGATCGACTCCCTGACAGTGAATATTGGAACGCAGCCATAGTATAATTTTATAATTTAAATATATGAACATTATAAACTTATTTTAAACATATTAAATATTAAGAAGCACGCAAAAAATAATATTATAATAAAATATTTTAATTAAAAGTAATGTATTATCAATGTTGTAATATCTAAGGATATTAAAATAAATAAATAAATAGATATAGATTATATTTTACTTATGAATTATATATAATGTAAACCAGATGTTTTTCATAAAAAATTTTAGATAAGGAGTTAAGATTTTCTTTTGTTTTTAAGATAAAATGGCAGAAGGATATTTGGCATGGAATATATTATTTAAAAAAATTTTTTAAATATGTAAAAAAAATTTTAACAAATAATTTAAATAATTATATTTAATAGCATTAAATTATATTAAATATAATTATTAATTATTACGATTATTAATAATAATTAATAATTATGAATAATTTATTATTATATTTAATAATTTAATTATTATTATATTATATTTATTATATTTTAATTATTATATTTTAATAATTTTAAAAAATTATGTATTAATTTTCTATGTAACCTGTTGTATATAACACTAACAACAGTGCTTTTAACACTCAAAATAAATAATTAATCATTGGGCAATTGAACTGCTAATAATTAATATCAATTTCATATATAATTTATCAATATTTTTTCATATATTACTTAAATTATTTATATATACTTACTCTAACATTGCATAGGCTTTATTTATCTTTTCTACTATTTCCCACTTTACCACTTTATTATAAGTTTATAACCTTATCATAGATAATTTATTTTCACATTCCTAAACTCATCGGAAAAGGATGTTAGAAAAGAGATTTTATTGGATATTACAACGAAAAAGTTATATGAAACCGAGTATACTCGGTTACGATAACGACATCGAAATCACATTTTATATTGATATCTTTTCGTTAGCTTGGTTAGTGCGGTCCACAATAGGTGATTTAAGCTTTAAGAAGTAAAAAATTGACCAATTATAATCGAATATGAAAAGAATAATCGACTATGATTGGTCAATTTCTTACGACTTAAAGATTAAATACTTATTGTGGACCGACACTTACAGAATAGCTTTGCTTTATAGTATCGCCAGTGTAAGCGACGATTATCGCTACGTAAAGGCCGGTCCACAATAAGT